GGGACAGAGAGAGGCTCCGCGAATTATTAACTACAAATAAATATAAATTTTTCATAATACCACCAAGATTAGTATTGAAGGACACTGCGATTATGAATGAGAACCAAAATCAGTAAAGTCAATCCTAATTTCGTATGCAGTCTATTTTCAAGAATAAGGCATGAAACAATTCACACTAAAGCGGAGTTAAGTTTAACAAAAACAGTCGTTCCATTGAGTTTTCATTAGCAGTATATTAAGTCAAATAAATTACGGCGGCAGCGGCATATATTTAAAGAAGCGAACAACTTTCAATCAAAGAATGGTGCGGGAAAATAAGAAGAGGCAACGTATGACTTTGATTTGTGAAGGATAAGGTGAGCGATAGGACTAGAACTTCCTGTCTGATATATAGTAGCCGTATGGTCAAGGCTGTTGGTGATGGATCTTGTGGTCCGGCAAGTCAGTCAGCATCAGCACTTGGTTACAGAGCTTGCAGACGATAATGTTTGTCAGCGTTTCAAACCGACCATGTCTACACATGGCGTTGTAGGCAGTGAGCAGCTGATTTTGCCGAACGACATCTGGCAACAAGCACAGCAGTTCCGGAAACAAGGCGACGAACAGTCTGTGACCCATCAATTCGCACACTGCCAAGCAGTAGTCCTGCGCTGACATATCATCCGTCCTGAAGTAGCCATTGCACCGTTTGAACCGTAGCAACCGCTCCTCGTCGAACTCCCGCTGAATGCGGTCTGAAAGTGACCTGTTGCGCTCCTCGAAGTCAAAAGGAGTTATGAACGACGAACTGACCGATCCGCAGCATTTCTGAGACACTAAATAAAGTGTTCAATAAACAGCGCGATAGCCAACTACGGAAAATAAAAAGGAAAACGAAAGGTGAAAGCCGTCTCCTCATCGTCTGTGATATACATTCATGATGAGCGAATCCTTTACAATTTATTCTCTGTTCAAGAATTGGTGATTAGTGCATTGTCGCTTATGAGTCTCCGTGATAGACTGTGCTTTATGTACTAAGTACTTTGTTTGTTTTTTACGAGAATGATGGACAATTAAATTCAGTTATTCAGCTGACAATAAAGCTAAAATAACACAAACCAATAAGCTGAAGGGAACAAACCTGGGTTAGAAATTGACGAAAAGCCAGGAGGTGGCGGGGGAGTGGCGAACGTTCTTGAATCCGAAGAACCGTTAGCTGACGACAAGTCTTTTCTAAACGTTCTTCTGACAACTGGTTCGCCAGACGGAAGGGGAGGAAAGTCGTTCAACGACTGTGTGACCAGCGCGGGTTTCGATGAAGACACAGTTGTTGCCCGGTCTACATCTCGCAGGTGGGCGATGCTGCTGTTAACATTTTGAAGCGCTTTTTGCTGTCGAGAGGTATGAGTCTGGTGTAGCTAAAAGTATTATATAAAATTACAGGATAAACACACCGAAAAACGGATGAAGTCATATTACCTCAGCGTAAAAACTTCCAGATACAATTCATTCCATGTCATGCACTGTAACTGCTAAGCAGTAATGAGGATATCCAACATAGCTAAGTTATCTTGAAAACACAGTTGCAGACAGACGACAACTATTCTGAACAGTACAGCCTCAAGGGGATGTGTCAACTACCTATTAGCACAGCTTTATTGGCATGATGTTGCTGAAAACGATAGATATCTGTCGCAACTGGCATTTTTGGTCATAGAATAAACGCGAGGGAGACAAAACGAAACGCTGGTACGAAGAAGCTAATGCTAGATTGGATTTATGCAGAACACATACAAAGCAAAATCTAAGATTCATATACAAGATTCGCTGAATATTTCGTTCTCAATTAAAAAACCGCAAGGCCGCTGGCCCCTGTGAACTTGCAACCTACCACTTTGAAAGTGTCAACATGGCTTTTGAATTTACCTGAGGACTTGGCTTAACCCAATCGCCACCAGATTTTGCAGTTCCAGCAATAAGGCTTGAGCCAGATGATTGTAGGGCCGGAAATTGCTCTTCAAACGACGAATGGTCATGCTTATTCGCGCTCCACGGAGTACCGAAAGTGCCAATAGATACTGGTGCCTACAAATAATTTTACAGTGCAAATGCACTTGAAAAACAAAAATAACCATTCTGCCACATTCTATTTTGAGCCAGAAAAATTTATATATTAATTCATTCTGCAAGATTTCACACAGCCCCACTATAAAAGCACTGTTGAATGACTAACAGCGCGGAAATGTTAGAATTTGCGCTATTTCGATCTCACCTCAATGTAGCAGAAATATCACCTCTGCGTTTCATTAGATGAAAGCTGTTCGGATTCAGCAAGATTTATTGAACTCAAGGTTTTCCATCCTTTCAGTTCACATCCCGCCCACCACAATCAGACTTCGACAAAGTCGGTATCAAGTAAAAGTAGAGCTAAAATATGACGCTACAAGTAAATTTTTTACTAGTCAAAAATGCATCATAACTCCATACACGGGCGGCACTGCGATAGCATTAAGAGGCCAAACCGAACTGTAAAACATAAAAGGGCCTTCTTTCATGGCAATTAAAAAACTTAGTAGTCTATACATTAAATCCGCCGTAGCCGGTCCCAAGTTCGATTCAAAAAGAAGGAGGGTTGGAGGTCTTGGTAAAATTTGGCTAAGTGCCCTTAATGGTATTCACCTCATCAAAAATTATACCGGTTCCGTGTGGGCCGGGATACAAAGCGCCGCGCAGGATGTTGGGGGACTGCGCAAGACAGCAAAAAGTCAGCGATCAGAGCCTGCTCATCGCCATCTGCCAGCAGGTGGCGTAGAAGCGCAACACGGCTCAGGAAAACGAGCGGAACGACGACCAAATTACCAGTCAGCAGTCAGCAATGGTGTCACTCTGAACGGAGGAGGCAAACAGCGCGATACCACTATAGCACGTCAGAAAAGGCTCCACGATAACGACAGTCAGAAAATGGAATATACCCTGACTTAGAGGGAAAGAGAAAGAACTACTCGATGAGGCCATAAAATACCAACTCTAAATTGATGGACTCTCGTAAACCAAGCGCCTAAGCTTTGGAATCCTGAGCGTCTGCAAGAGGAAGCTATTCTGCTCAGGTATCGATATCACGACGCGTGTTCAAGCCGGTTTCAGTTTAGTGTTAGTACCGAAACTAGCTAATTAGAAGCCCGTCAGCAGAAGGGTGGCAATCCGCCAACTGAAGCTCCAAGAGGCTAAAGCGTTTCCCTTGTAAAAGATCTATGCGCCCAATATGTAGCGGGAATATGATCCCTTTCTTGATAGATGGACGATGCAGAGCGGTGTGTAAGAAGTACCGAATACGGAGTCCGACATACCGTAATGTTGGAGTAGACCCTGAAAAAGAGAAAGGCGTCATTATAAGGAACGGCCAG